CCCCCCAGCTGGGCTCCCCGCCATCCTGGTGTCTTTGCCCCCCTCCCAACCAGGGTCCCCAGTGCTCCAGGCCTCCCCCCCCAATCCCCCATGCTCCCTCCACCGCACACACACTGTGCCCGCCCTGGCCCGAGCTCCTCACTGCCCATCCCAGCCGGTCTCCTGCCCAGGCTCCCTGCTCCTCACCACCATGTCGCGCAGCACGGCACGCAGGGGGGCCGTGGACACCCTCCAGATCTGCCGGCTGTGGTTGATCTGCAGCTCCACGGTGCAGCCCATGGAGCGGATCACCTCGTCCAGGTTGTGCCGCATGTTGGCGATGGGGCCTGGGGATGGGCCATGCGGCCAGGTCACAGCCCCCGGCGCCAGGGCAAGGCCTGGGGCCAGAACCACCTGGCAGCCCCCACCCTGCGCCAGAACCATCTGGCAGCCCCCTGCTGAGATGGGGTGAAAAACTCAATCCCCCACCCCTTGCCATACCCCGAGTGAGGGTGCAGTGGCTGGGGGAGGGGTGTCACACCAGGTACCTGGTGAGGGTGCAGTGGCTGGTGGGGGTCACACCAGGTGCCCGGTGAGGGCGCAGTGAGGAGGGGGGTGACATTATTGACACAAACTGGGACCATATAGATCATGGTTGCAACCAAGGTCCTGTAGTGGCACCAAATCTTGTACAAAGGAGATCAAGTAAAGTGTCTAAGACAAGGTTCTGGTTTGCTGGGTATGATGATGCTATCTGGGTGCATGGATCTTTTTGTATTTAAAGTTATAAGTATCGGCTCTAGACTGTCTGTATTTCCAACTCCGTGCTGTGCTTCTGGGTGACACCCCAGACAAGTTGGTGTCAGCTCTGCCTAGCCTGCTTGATGGCCCATTACGGACCGTCAGCTACACAACTGACCCACTGAGAGAAGCAGATACACCTTGTGACTCAGCAAGACATGCAGGGACCTGCCCATGGACAGAACTCTGAGGTTTTTCCAGGCCATGTGCTGGGCAGCTTGTCTTTTGAACAAAGAAAGAGAAGTCACATGGCAAGACAAGAGACTATAAAAAGCTGCTGCAGCTCCTCCATCTTGTCTTCAATCCTGCTTCTTGCCTCTGGAGGGACTTTGCTACACTGAAGCTCTGAACTAAGGACTGAAGGACCCATCCCAGCTGGGGATGTTCCAGAGACTTGATTTGAACCTGCAGCTTATCCCATCCCGGCTACAAGCCTGAACCAAGAACTTGGCCATCACTGTATGGAATTGATTCCATGTAACCAATTCTGGCTCTCATCTATAATTCTTTCTTTTTATGAATAAACCTTTAGATTTTAGATTGTAAAGGATTGGCCACCGCGTGATTTGTGGGTAAGATCTGACTTGTCTATTGACCTGGGTCTGGGGCTTGGTCCTTTGGGATTGGGAGAACCTTTTTTCTTTTACTGGGGTGTTGGTTTTCATAATCATTCATCCCCGTGTGACGAAGTGAGGGGTTTTCTTGTTTTCTGTGGGGTTTCAATGGTTTGCATGCAGAGGGGGTGGGACTCAGTTTCCCTGGGTGTTACTGGTTTAACGAGGTGAGGGGAGAGGGAGTGTGTTTTGCAGAGGACCGGAGAGAGGACGTGGGGACCCAGCCGGTGGCCGGGAGGATGGATACCCCAGTGACCGGTGACCTGGCGACCTGGTGACCCAGAGGCCCAGCTGAGGAGACGCAGCCGGTTCTGGCCAGTGGGAGGACAATGGGCTGCAGAGTGAGGACCCAGTGACCTAACCAGCCGGTTCCAGCCAGAGGGAGAGGCCCCGGTTTACGACCCTGTTTACCTGGAGAGAAGACAATGGACAGAGGCGGGGCCTGGGGCCAGGGATCTGAGATGCCCAGCTGGGAGCAGGGGGGCTCTGGGCTGGAGAGGGGGAGCAGGCAGAGCCCACCTGGATGCAGAGAGACTGGGATGTGCTGGGCTGAGGGAGGCCAGGCCTGAGGCCCTGAGAGTTTCCTGTGCTGTGTTCAACTCTCAATAAACCCTTCTGTTTCATGCTGGCTGAGAGTCACTCCGGTCTAGAGAACAGGGTTGCATCAACCCCTTCGGGGGTGGAGGCCCCGGGGGTCCAGAGCGAGTGGACTCCCTGAGGGGGCCCACGGCAGAGACAGACGTGCTAAGGCTCAGAGAGGTGCGGATCCAGGAGGTGGAGGGGCCAGACCCCGAGAGAGAGTGGACCCCCGAGAAGGGCTGTCTCACTAAAAGGGGCACCCCCCATGGACCGCACGGGGCCTGACCCCGAGAGAGTGGACCCCCGAGAAGGGCTGTCTCACTAAAAGGGGCACCCCCCACGGACCGCACGGGGCCAAGAGTGGGCACGATCTGTGAGTCCGTGACACCCCGTAACGAGTGGTGCTGGTGGGGATACTGGGAAACTGGAGTGTCTGAGGGATTTGCTTGTGTGACTTGTGGTTAGCCAGTGGGGTGAGACCGAAGTCCTCTTTGTCTGGTTGGTTTGGTGTGTAAAGGACCCCAGCGTTGGGCTGTGACTGCCCTGCGCTAAGCAATTCGTCCTGAATTGATACACTCAGTTGTGTCCTGCCAGAGGCAGCATCGTTATAGTCGGGGGGGGGGAGGTCACCTCCAGGTGCCCAGTGAGGGTGCAGTGGGGAGGGAGGGGTCACACCTGGTACCCAGTGGGGGGGGGTCACACCAGGTGCCCAGTGAGGGGGCCCTGCGCCCACCTATCTCCAGCCTTGGCCTGTCTCCTTACCGTCATAGACGGCAGCCAGGACGTAGGTGAGCAGGTAGATCCGCCCCTCCTTGCCCAGGAACTTGGGGGCGACCAGGAGGCTGGCGCAGCGGAAGTGCGGGGAGATGCCCCAGCCCAGGGCACTGACACCTGCAGGGGAGAGGGGCTGAGAGAGCTGGTGGCTTCTCCCCACAGCCTGCGGCCCAGCTGGGCACCAGTCAGGCCCACAAGGCACCCACCCACCACAGGAAACACAAACAGCCCTGCCCTGGGCACCCACCCACCATGGGGCACCTACCCACCATGGGGCACTGCCCCCCCACCATGGGCCACCACCCACCATGGGGCACTGACCCCCTGGGCACTGACCCACCATGGGGCACTGCCCCCCCACCATGGGCACCTACCCACCAGGGGGCACCGACCCCCTGGGCACCCACCTGCCAGCCCGTACATCAGCTCGATCTTGTGACCCTCGTCGAGGCTCATGGGGAAGATGAGGAGCTGGGAGAGGCCTGGACAGCCAAGAAGCTGGAATGTGGGAGCCGCCCTGAGCCCCTCGGGCCCTTCCCTGCCCACACATCCCTCCCTCCGGCCCCACACACGCCCCGCCCCCCAGCTGTGCCACGCCCAGGAAGGCCGCAGCCTGGGCAGCGCAAGGCAATGGCACCGCTTTAACAAAATGGGGTTGGAGGCTGATGTAGCTAAACTGGGGTGACTCCCCACCCCAATATCCCCCCGATACCCCAGTGCCCCCAGACACCCCAACATCCCTGTTGTCACCAATGCCCTGGCATTACTGGCCCCCATCACAAGCTCCCAAGCAGCCCCTCCGTTTCCCCCCCCCCCGCAGCAGGGACCCCAAAGGCCTCCCCAGCCCGCCTACAAGTCCCGGCTGGACTCACCCAGGGCCAGGAAGCCCCCAACGCCTGCGCCCAGGAAGAACTTGCTGAGGCAGAGCTGGTCGGGCTGGCTCCAGAGGAAGCGGGCACAGCAGGCGGGCAGCAGGCCGAGCACGGCTCGCTTCAGGGCTGTGGGGAGAGACAGGGGTTAATGCCGGGTCTCCCCAGGG